GTCGCAGGTTTAGTAGTGGCCCAACACTTAAAATTACTTGGAGTACATTGTGCCTCGTTAAAAGTGCTACACGTATGAAAGTTGTTGCGAGTAAGTAAAAGACTTACTCGAACTAATTATTGCATAAAGATTTGTTGTACAATGAAAACCTGTGAACTCACCAACTCTTGTAGTTGACACTTGTTTTAACGTGATTTTCAGGGGTAAGAAGGGCACATGGTGGCATTTAAAAGAATTCGTGTTTCAATCATCACCTTCGAATTTTTTTTATTAATTTACAAACTTGTCGTTTTGGGAATGTAAACGCTGGATTGTGATATAATGAAATTTTAATGTATGGTGGTGTTATTTATACTCTATTGCTATGAGACTCTACCTGCCATACCTCGTGCCGCCCCGCCCTATGCCCGCGCATCCATTAGCGGTACATAGAGTTAGAGTTCGGGCCACCGCCCAAAAGAGCATTCCTCTGCCCGTAAGGGTGTCTTTCTCCGCCCCTTCCGGAGTTGGGAGGGAGTCATCCCAGTCTCGCACCCGTAGTGTGACACCCCCACCTACTACCAGGGCCACGTCGGAGCGCTCTCCGGGCATGACCACCTTAGAGAACCTATGGGTTTTGGGCATCGTCCAAGACCTAAAGATGTGTGAACTTAGGTTGGATCATCATCAACACTTTGCCGACAGAGTGATTATGGCCCTAGGCGCTCAAGACAATGTGATGGATCGTTCGTTGGAGTTGATTAACAGCGCTAGGGGAGCGATTAGGAGGTTATATACCTACTTGGCGGTGTTAGCGGGTGTTTTGGTGATAGTGATGGGACTACTTGTTTGGAGTCTAATACGCTAGAAGACTCTATTTTATTAAGCTTTTGATAGATCAAACTTAGAATCTTCTTTTGGGGAATGTAGCCGTGACTTATGAACAATATCTTTCTTTTATTGCACGTCTTTATTTTCTTTATGGATGATATGAGTTTTTATTTTGGTTGAATTATGTTGATTAATGATTGAATGCTTTTATTATTACAAGTTATTATATATTGCCATGGATGCATGTTTAGATGATTGAATTATGCCGTGCATAATTCAATAAAGTAGATACAGTGATAAACAATAAAAATAACTGAACTTTGATTTAAAATTTTTGCGTTAGAAATATGCCTCCAAGAAGAGAAGATCCCGAAATTACGAGACTTGTGTCCGAGCAAATTCTGGGGCCCTTCCTAATATAATTAGCCAAGTAGCAGCAGGCTTGAACGCTAACCAAGGTACCACAGCAAATAGAGACTGCACGTATAAAGGCTTTAGGGCTTGCAACCTGTCACACCCTACTAAAGCGGAAACGCGAGGTATGGCAGGTAGAGTCTCATAGCAATAGTGTATAAACAACACAACCATACAATTTAAAACATAATTAAA